ATTAACAAAAGCAGTCAGCATGTGATCCTTTTAAAACAATAGGCTCTTTCTCACTGGGACTCCTCTTCTCCTATATAAAATGGGGTGATTGATTAAATTAGACATGGCAATTTCCTCCCAGCTTGGCTGGTCTAGGGCTTGGGTTCTGCTGAGTAAACACCTGCATCTGTAAGTGGTGGACAGCCAAGCCTTTATGAGTCACCTCTTATAGAATTCTTAGCTGTTGCATTTGCTGCAGAACTTACTTGAAAATTTCGTACTGTCTAGAGTTTCCGTTACTTCCATACAAAGCGACCAAGATGTGCCCATTCAGTTTCTTTGCTCCAGACAGTGTGACTGACACCTTGTACCTCCAACCTGTGCCAAGAAGTATATCATTTCAACAAATTTATCTTGTTGGGGAAACATATGACTCAATTGGAAGTGTTGTTTTCTAAGATCGACTCCCCTCGGGTAAGAGGTGAGGCGGGTGTGACTGTGTTCTTCCATGGAGTTGACACATGACTTCACATAACCGGGCAAGGTGAGGAGACCAAGGGGACAGAAAACACAACAGCTGAGCATAACACAGTGTCTGCCCCAATGGATGAAGGACAGGCCATTGCTACACATGGCCCTGATGGATGCAGGAGAGTGTCCCCCTTCTCCACCTCAATTTGTATGTTAAAGTCTTGTTTGTGGTGGCTAGTTTTGTGCCAATGCAACACAGAGTTATTTTAAAGGAGGGAACCTCAATTGAGAAAATGCCTTCCTAAGACTGGGCTGGAGGCAAGCCTGTAGAGCATTTTCTTAATTAGTGATGGGGGCGGGCCCAGTGCTTGATGGGTGGTACCATCCCTGGGTTGGTGGTCCTGGTTCAATAAGAAAGCAGGCTGAGCAAGCCGTGATGAGCAAGATGGGACGTAGCATCCCTCCACGGCTTCCGCATCAGCTCCTACCTAAGGGTTTCTTGTTCTGGCTTCCTTCAGTGATGGACTTAAATGTGGAAGCGTAAGGCAAACAAACCTTTTCCTTCTCAACTTGCTTTTGATCATGGTGTTTCATCACAGCAATAGAAACCCTAACTAGGGCCGGGTGTTGCTGGCACACACCTTTAATCCCAGCATTGGAGGCAGAGGCAGGCGGATCTCTGAGTTCGAGGCCAGACTAGAGTGAGTTCCAGCACAGCCTCCAAAGCCACAGAGAAACCCTGTCTCGGAAAAAAAAAAGAAGAAAGAAAGAAAGAAACCCTAACTAGGACAGAAATTGGTACTCGGGTAGTGGGGGTGTTGCTGTGACCATGTGTTTGGGATGATTGTGGGAGGGCTTTGGAACTTTGGGCCAGAAGAGCCACTGAGTGTCGAGAGCTCAGGGGGCTGTTCTGTGGAAGCTATGAAGATGAGAACATTGAGAGCCCTGAGATGATGGGGGCCAGGCTTGTGAAGCTTCAGAGGGAGGTTTCAGAGTCCCTTAATCATTCTATGGGTCCAGTCAGCTCGGCTGAAGAGTCAGCTGTGATTAGCAAGAGTCCAGAATCACTGTAGCAAAACCTTTGTTTAACGGGGATAGTCGATGCTGCATAGCTGGAGCTGGGAAATCAGGGATGGTTAGGAAGAGACCAGAATCATTAATGTGAAATCATCCGGGAAGTGTTTTCTGAGAGTCAACACACAGAAGCTGTGTTCAGAGGTGGCCAAGATTGTACCTTGTGCTGGCAGACAAACTTGGTAGTATAAGAGTCTCCCAGGTGGCACTGATTTTGAAGGCATAAAGGGGTCATGGAGAGCATCTGAGGCTCGGTGCTGTGAGAGGCCAGAGAAGCCCTGGTGAAGGTGCAGCTGCAGTAGCTGTGGAAGCCCCAGGATTGAAGGGGCCATGGAGAAAGTTGAGGCTTGGCACCAAGAAGAGAGGGCTATTGATGAAGGTGCAGCCTGGGTGTAGATGAAGACCCCAGCATTTCGGAGATGCTAGTACTCTGGGATGACTGCTAAGAGCAGCAGCAACCGTGATGTGAAGTGAGACCAAGTCTAGAAGACAAGCCCCGTGTGCTGCAGAGGAGAGAGGCGGAGAGGAGACCCAAGCTCCTTGGAAGAGCCCAGAAAATTGTGAGTGAATCATAGATAATTGAACATTGAGTATTTACATTTTTGGAGTTTGGTTTTGCTTTGTTCAGATTGATTGTGTCCTGGGTCTTCCCTCTTAAAGCAAGAAAGTATTTAGTTTTGATTTTACAGGAGCCCATGTCGAGAGACTTTTAATTTAATTTAAAAAGACTTTAGATTTTAAAAGACTATTTTAAAGAGGCTGAATTTTTAAGTGTTTCAATTTTTAAACATTTTGGGACTTTTAAATTTTAGAAAGTGCATTGCAATGTTGATATTAATGTGTGATCTTGGCAAAGAACGATAAAGGAAAGGTTGCGGCTTAACAGTGATACATTTGTGTATCAAGCTGACAAGGGGTCAATAGAGCTGACTAGTTTTATGTCAGTTTGACACAAGCTAGAGTTACCCGAAGAAAGGAAACCTCAATTGAGAAAAGGCCCCTATAAGATCTGGTTGTAAAGCATTTTCTTAATTAGTGATTGATGGGGGAGGCCCTGCCCATTGTGGGTGGTGTTATCTCTGGGCTGGTGTCCTGGGTTCTGTAAGAAAGCAGGTTGAGTAAGCCATGGGGAATAAGCCAGTAAGCGGCACCTCTCCATGGCCTCTGCACCAGCTCCTGTCTCCAGGGCTTCTGTCCTGACTTCCTCCAGTGATGCAGTGTTACCTGGAAGTGAACCCTAATAACCCCTTTTCTACCCAACTTGCCTTTGGTCATGTTGCTTCCTCAAAGTAACAGTAAACCTAACGGGGACGGCTGAGGTGACAGTAGTGGTGGAGGAGGAGGAACCTTTGGAAGATAAATCGTGAGGGCAGAACCCTTATGGATGAGATTATTAAAGGGACTCCAAGAGGCTCTGCAGCCCTTTCTGCACTAAGAGGCAGGATACAGTTGGAAGATGCTTGTGTGTAGAACCTGGCCATGCCGCTGTGCTGAACTCAGTTCCAGCCCCCGGGACCTTAGGGGGCAGATGTGTTTATAGAGCTGTCATCTGCAGAGTGCTGCTGTAGCTGCCTGCACTGCCTAAGGATTGGCTGCAGGTGGCTTTGTTACTCCTGGTGTCTGAGCATTTCCTTCTTTCCCAACTGGTCGACAGATTTTCTACTCAATCTTTTGCTTAAAAGCAACCCTATGGGTAAGAATCTTTGAGCACATCAGTGTTTCTGTGGAATGAGAAGCAGAGTGACTCTATGGAGGGGAAATGCCTGTTAAGGCTTTATGGATACTAACGAGTTATTCTTTTTCATGATGAACGTAGGATTGCAGGAAATAATGTAATTGTATAGTATATAACTAATGAGTTATTTTTTATGATAAAGTTAGGATTGCACGAAATAATATAAGTGCATACTATATAACCATTTAAATTTAAAGCTACCTCAGAAAAGGCTTTTCAATTAGTTTGATTCTACTTATGACAAATTAATCTTGATGTATCAACTCTTTTGTGTTTTCTAATGAGAACTTGAGCAATATGAAACCCGTGACAATGGAGTGCTGTGTGTCTGTGTCTGTGCATTTGTATGCATTGCGTGTGAGTGTGTGCGACAGTCATGTGCGATGACTGTCTGGCGGTAGTCATCTCTGTGGCTTTCTGATTTACAGTCACATGGCAGTCACTCTGTTGTTGTTTCAAGGCATGTATCTTCTCTGTCATGAGTAGGTGGACATGGGATGCTGCTGCTCACTGATATCTAGTTTTCCTACAAGTTACTAGAGTGAGTGAGCCCTAAGGCATGCCTTGTTCTGCCACCCTTACACGACAGCTTGGGCAGGTGACAGTTGAACTTTTAGTCATTTAATACCAAGGGGCTTTACTAACAGAGCTCAGATGCTTTTAAAATTAATTGTAAAAGATTTTTAAGTGAAATGGGAACTTACGAGTAAAGTTACCACTATCTCCTGTGTTCAGGAAAAAGGTTTGTTCTACGGCGATGGTTTTCCCCTCAAACTGTTCAGCATAGTGTCCCATCTTGGGGCACCCTTCTTCTGGACAAGGGAAGCAGCCATTCTAGGGGGGAAGAGATCATTTGTTAGTAGGAGACCTTGTCCCAGGTCACTCCTTCATCTTTCCTTCCTTCCTCCTTCCTACCATTTGTCTGCTGATTATTGATCTCTCTTTTATCTTTATTTCTACCCATCCTTCTGCTTACCCATCTTTCATTCATCCTCTTGGTTACTCAGTCATCCTACTAGCTCAAACATCCATGCATTTATTTACCTATACATCCCTGGACCCGTGGATCCATTCATTTATTCTCAGAATTGTATACATGATCATTCTTGACCATGTAGAACTCCCAAACATGTACCTCCAAAACTTACAGTTGGGAGACAAGTCCTATAGGAAAAAGTAAAATAAATCAGAAGGAAGACTGTGAGATGATGATTCTGGGGAAAAGTCAATTGGGAAGACAACAAATGATCTGGGCCAGGTATGGTGATGCACACGCCTTTAATCCCAGCACTTGGGAGGCAGAGGCAGGCAGATCTCTGAGTCTGAGGCCAGCCTGGTGTATATATTGAGTTCCAGGACAGCCATAGCAAATAGAGAGACCCTGGTCTCAAAAATACAAAACAAAACAAGAATGAGAGAAAAACAAGGATCTTTAATCACTTGTCCTTTGCTACGAATGACTTGACTAACTTGGTTGACCCCACCAGTACTCCGTAGATGGCTGCTCCTTCACTGGGCCTTCCAATCAGACAAGCACTTGCTTTGTTCTCTGACCTTATGCCTTACCACAAATATGTGGTTTGAGATTTGCAAAGAGTCAGACAGATGTTGGAGGCAGTGTGACTGCCCAGTCTCTTGCAGTAACCAGTGCAGGCAAGGCTACTCACTAAGTAATCACAAGCCATGATGATCACATATGAGGTTCTTTTAACCCTGATACCTCTCAAGATGTCAGGGTCAAAGTTAGTTTTGAAAAGAATAAATATATTTTTACTTGATAAAGATATTTTAGAAACTTGAGAGTTTTGCAATATTTGATATGAGAACTGGTTTAGGTGAAGAGCATCAACAAAAACTCCATTTTTTTTTTTTTTAGTTTATTGCTAAAAGCAGAGTTCCCTAAAAGGTTGTTTAGAACTAGTTAGTATTTTTATAACAGAGATCTGGCACACATGACCTTACGGAGTAAGCAAACTTCAGCTATCAAATACTAGAGAAAGTGCTAGTGAACCGATGCTCCTGGCTGTGATTCACTGAGAAGGGCCCTATGTCGATCTCAAAATCAGAAATAAACCACTTCTGAGCATGGGCATTCTACCAAACACGCTGTCTGGAATCCTCAGAACTATCTGTGTTCTGGAAACTGTGGAACTGCTTGTGATCAGCGAGGAAAGAGGCATGGCAATAAAGGCAATGCAGGAAAAAAGGGGCAGAGGGCAAGAAAGATGGGGAGAAGAGGAAGGAGCGATGGGGAGGAAGGGAAGAGGGAAGGAAGGAGGAAGATGGAAGGAAAAACAAAGGAAGTTAGGAAGGAAGGGCAGTGGCAAGCTGACACAGTTCCAGCAAACTTCAGATACATGGAGTCTTGACCATGGCCTACGCATTTAAAATGTTAGTGTATCGAAGATGAACTTAAGTCCCTTTGTAGGAGGGTGGTCCTGTTCTTGGAGATGAACACTGCAGGGCCTATGAGCACAGTGCCCTAATATCTCTGATTCACTTTCACATACTTAAGGTACAAAGCCACACACATGCTTGTGTTTGAAACATTAGCAATTGGTGTGTGTAAGTGACAGGTGTAACAGACACTTTTGTGCTCCTCTTTCAACCTGCTTGTAGACAGGGAGTTGTCCTAAATTAAAAGCTGGGGACCCTAGAGAGGTCCAGTGTGGCCAGCAATGAATGTGATCTCCCCTCCAGTTCACTGCTGGAGGAAGGGGCTTTGGAAATCTCTTCATCCCCCCACCCCCGTTCATGTCTGCAGAGTCGATGGCATCTTTTTATTGTGCTATATGTCACAGAGATGAACACAAGCAGCAGGGTCACCAGGCTCTTCTCTCTGGGGCCCTGCAGTGACCTACCTGTTGGAACTCCTCATAGGAGGTGCAGGGGTACCCCAGGAAACCGTCGGGGTTGAGGATGCTGCTGGCATAGTACTTGTAGCTCCGGAGATGGTTGCAAGCTGCAAAGTTTTGAGTCCCTGAGAAAACCAAGGCCACAGGAGTGAGAGAAGGGCCTTCACCTTCAGAAGGCCAACTATTCTGAGTGAACAAGGAGCGGCCTCCGTCCCTCGGAATTCGGGGCCAGGCAACTGCTGAGGAGTGACAAGTTCTAGAAGTGTGCCTGTTGAGTATGTGTAACATATGAAAGGACTGAAAGAGGGCAGAGCCAAGGGGCAGAGAGAGAAAGAGACAGATAGACACAGAGAAGGAGAAACAGATAGATACAGGCAAATCTGCATATATATGGAAAGAGAAAGTAGAACAGTTGATTTTAAAAAGCTTTTTAAAGACTTAGCTTTTAAAACCCAAACACACACAAGGTATGCAAGTAGAGAGAAGATAAGACAGAGATAATCCACAGGTGGTCTTCATTATCTGGGAACTCTACAGCCTTGGGTTGAGCCAACCATGACTGGACAGTGTCATTAGGTCTATGGTGGTTGCGTTTGTACCAAGCATGTGCTGACTTCTTGTCAGTATTCCCAGAACAGTGCTGCATAGCAGCCATGTGGGCACACAGTCTTCCCTGGGGGCCAGCTCTTCTCAGGTCTCACTGTTAAGGCTGCGTTAATGCTGAGTAACCTCCCACCACACATACTCTAAGCTGGGCCAAACTCGGGTGATTCCAGTGCACTGCCTTCTACTTTGACCCAAAGATGATTTGTTGGGAAGAAAATCACTTTTCATTTCTCTAGTTACTTGACATAAAACTTCCCATGGAGGAATCGAATAGGACCATTCATGGGAGTCACTCATCAAGAAACGACCTGTTCCCTTTGTGGGTGGGGTAGCTTTGCTATCTCAGCTCCTAGTCTCCTGCTGTGCTCACCGCCCACCATCCAGCCCAGAGTGCTCACTCTCACGCCCCTCAGTAGACAGCAGAACCTGCTTTAAGCTTAATTGTTTCTTTCATCCAAAAATTGCTGCTCAGGGATCCCATAATAGAGGAGAGAGTGTGTTCAATCGTTCCCTATGCCCAGGGCCTGCATGACTTGTGTGGCATACAATAGAAACACACTCCAGTGCTCATGGGCTGCTTCACTCTAAACTGCCTCTTTAATTAAACCTGGGCTCTCTGCTATTGTGTGTGCCCTGCTCGTCACTTCTGGGAGGTGGCAGCTGTTATCACGACTCAGGCTTTTTTGGGGGTGGACAGCCAATCCCCCAATGAGTTACCAGGTAAGGGACCAAGAGGTCAAAAGCTGTTTACTTGTCAGTAGGCTCTGAAAGTTGCTTTATCCATACTACTTCCAGACATTAAGCACACAGGACATTAAAAGGCCACAACAAACCACTCAACATGTGCTTGGTGCTTGCTTCAGGTACTGGGGTGATGGGCTAAATCCAGCCACATGGAGCTTCCAGTTCAGAAAATAACGACAAATGAAATGATCACTGATCCTTCCAGAGAAGACAGTGAAGTCTGTCCTCAGGAGAGGGACAAAGAGAGCAAGTGGCTGTCATGCCAGCTAATAGTAAGTAAGTTCTGCTCTCTTAACACAGTGACACACAGGCTTTAGGAAGCCACACTGCTGCTAGCAGTTCAGGCCTCCCTGCCCACGAATGCCTCGAACCCTCAGAGTGTATCTTCTTCTAGCCAGCTACCTCAGTTGCCTGCCTGACACAGCCAATAGCAAGAAGGGTAGAACCTCCACATACTGTGATGATCTGCAGTTCTTCAAGGAGCAGGAGCTGAGGACATGGTGAGGGTGGGGGCAGAGCCAGAGCTGGGTGTTTGCTGCTGTGTCTGTCTTACCCTGGCTTTCTGGCAACTGAGTTAGGAGCTCAGAGCCTTCCAGTAAGAAGCCCAGCTTACATATAGTGTACCCTTGAACAAAATATGTAGCTGTCCAGGCACCCTGTGCCTGCATGTACAAAGTAGGGGCAAATATCTCGCAGTGTTGTCAATGCCTGGCTAAGAGCAAAGCCATGATAAATGGCAGCGAGTTCATCACCGTGGTGGTCAGACTCCTACATTCTGCTTTCAAGCTCCAGTTCTGCAGGTAAGACTCACTTCTCTCTCTTAACCTACCTTCCCATATTCCGTTTATGTCCACGATGGTGGAAAGGATGTTTTTCTGACATCCGGGCATTTCCTTTCCTCCGTTTGGGAAGAAATCCAGATGGCCGACCTTTTGGCTCATCCCAAAACCTGAAACATTTGAAGCTGAAGTGAGCAGGGGAATAAATGGTCCCAAAGTTACATCTGGCTTCAGTGTTCAGTCCATTCAAACAGAAGCACAAACCTTGGCAGTTTTCTCCTTCACCACATCAACTCTCTTCACAAGAGAGATCTCGGATAGGTGATTGGCAGGACCAACACAGGAGGCAAGGTGGGGAGAGGATGTGTTATGGGTGAGCGGGTATATATCTATTCATATATGTGCCTATCTGTCTACCTTGGAGAGGCCCTGGACAGTCGGTAAGACCAAGGTCACAAGGAACCAGTTGGTGTGTTATCTGGAAGGATGTGTATTATATTATTCATTTAGATCTTTAGTAAATTGTGTATGTACTGAGTGTCTGTGTGTGAGTATATTCCCTGAGTGCAGGTGCCCTAAGAAACCAGAGGCAACTACTTCCTGGAGGTAGAGTTTATAGACCGTTGTGAGATACCCAGCATGGGCACTAGGAACCAGACTCAGCTGTTTTGCAAATGTAGTAAGTGCTTTTGACCACCGAGCAAACCCATGCCCACTGTAGTTTCTCAAATTTGTGATACAGTGGGCCTATGACAGCGGTTCTCCAAAACTGAACTACCTCTCAAGTCCTCTAGAATGCATTGCTATCGTGAGGCCACAGAGGTTCTTTGGGCAGGAGCTTTTGATTTTTGAGGCACACAGACCTGTGATCAAGCCCTGGTTCCGCGGGCCAGCCTCACGATCTTGCTGAATTATTCAGTCTCAGCAAGTCTCCTCAGCTGTGAGGTGCTGGCAATTTACCTTTCAGGGTGTGTCATACGTAATAAACTTGTTATGTGCAAAATGTTCCATAAAGCACACGTGTTAAGCATCCACTAAATGCTGTGTCTGTCACCGTCGTTGTCATTATTGTTAAAGTATACCCTGTATGCACAGGTTTCCTGAGTGGCTATCTGATGCAAAGTAGTGAAAAAGAGAATGCTGATTTTAGGGGCTGGAGAGATGACTCAGAGGTTAAGAGTACTGGCTGTTCTTCCAGAGGTCCTGAGTTCAATTCCCAGCAACACGTGGTGGCTCACAACCATCTGTAATGAGAGCTGGCTCCCTCTTCTGGTCTGGGGGGATACATGGAGGCAGAATGTTGTAAGCATATTAAATAAATCTTTTAAAAAAAAGAATGCTGATTTTAGAAGAATTGAACAAAAAGATGTAGTTCCCACAGGACAGACTGCAGCCAAAGCTTTGTCAATTTATTTTTTTCTAAATAAAAAAGTCTAAAAACTTTTCTATCAGGTCAAGTGAAAACATCTATTCCTTTGGATGTAGGGAGAGATGCCGGGATGGATGAGTCATCGCCTCCCTGGACTAATAGAGTTTTTTGGTTCAGCCTGGGGTCACAGGCCCCATGTCAGCGGCATTGTACTGGGTAATTGCTGTGGCCGGTGTCCATTGTTACTGATTGGGACCTAAGGTGCTCTGTAGTTAACCATGTCGAATGTTCCCTCTGTAGCTGTGTGTGTTGGGAGGAGGCTGTCACCTGGACACAGGCCATCAGTCCCTGGTCATGAGGAGTTGGGGGTGAAGAACTCACCTAGGTAGGGAACTATGGAGGCACTATCTGTGTGAATTGCGTCTACAAACATGGCGTCCGAGGGGTCCAGCCGAACTTCCTCAGGCAGGCCTTGGAAACAGGGCTCGGCGGGGTCCAGTCCTGAAGGGTAGAACAGAGGTAGAATGATCTTACCCCACGAACGATAAGCTCCAAGTGTCAAACCACAGACTGAGGTGAGGATGCTGGGTAAAGAAAGCCCTGCACACCCCAGAGATCACAGCTCTGAGAGGCTGCGGCTTCTGGCCTGCTGGAGAGAAAGAAGCCAGGGCAGAGGACTGGTACAGGGATGCTGCCTAGAAAATGCTCAGACATGCCTAGCATCAGCTCCAGGGAGTGTTTGGGTGGGACACTCGTCGCTCTCACTTCTCCTTTCCTGATTTTCCTCACTGAGATCATAAGCTCCAAGGTCTTACTCAGCTGTTCCCCAGTTCCTGAGACCCACACATCATTGATGTCTCCCCAAGCCATTCCCAGCCTCCTGACCTATTGACACAGTCTCCCTCTGTTTAACTCTTTCTCCACCAAGCCCCAGCTCAAATACGGCCTTCTCATGGAAGCTTTTATTTCTCCTCCTGTCCTAGCCATGGCATTATTCTGCGCTCATAAATTCTACTTTGGATTTGTTTACTTTATTTCCTTGTCTCCTTAGCTCCCTACATTCTGGATGGGTCAGCGGGTTTCCTGAAGCAGAGGCTGTGCCCACCGTTTTCACAGAGAAGCCAGAAGGTAGAATGTCTGTTCAAGTGTCCATGCCCATCCAGAGAGAGAACAGGCCAACCCTCTCACAGGTTTATTATGAAAATCCCACAGAAAGATGTAACAGACAGGCCCCTGCAAACAACGTCTACGGCATTATAAAACACTGTCCCTATCCTTCAATGCAGTGCCCTGAGCGGGGCAAGTTGGACAGCGTAGAAGGAATAGCTGCTCTTGTGTGTGTCCTGTGGTCATGGACTGGGGCTGTTTCCTTCAGTCACTCAGCATCTCCTAAGTGACAAGTCTCTTCCTGGCTGCGCCCAAATGAGCAAAAACCTTCAAGGAGCAAATGGAACTGACAAATTTTAAAAAATCATACCACTGATTATTTGGCTATGTTCCAGCAGTAATGTCCCCAAAGTTAGGTTTCATACACCTGAACCTGGTTATATTTTTCTTGTTTTACAAACATATTTTTTTAAATCTATGACTGTAGATTTTATAATAGGTATTAAGAAACAAGGACAACTCTTTCTGAATCAAGGTATCTCCTAAATCAGGAAAGCAGGAGGGTCGTCCGCTGCCTTGGGACAGGCACTGGCAGAGGCCTCCCCTGATCGCTTCCTGGCCCTGGGACCCCAAACTGGCTCTCAGGGTTCCTACCTGTGATCCTGCCCAAGTGGCCCTCCAGCCTCCGGCCTGCTTCCCCGGCCACGTGTGCTCCCAGACTGTGGCCGATGAGGTGCACGTTCTCTGGGCTGTATTCCAGCTCCGTCTGTGGAAAGAGGAAGCATTAGGCCACCGAGATCCATGTGGGAACGAGAAGGTCTGGGAGTAGAGGCTGGCCTCTGCTAAAGGACTGGCCCTCCACTGGGACTGCTTGGCCAGGCCATGCTGCAGGTTGCTGGGCCCTTGGGGAAGGTTCCATGCTCTTGCGTGCAGCAACAGTGCTGGCCAGTGGCCACCGCGCTAACTGCAGGCCACCTCTCCGGCTGCTGCCGCCACCTGGTGTCGCCATGGAGGCCTCTGCCTGGTTGCAGAGGACTGGGCGCAGTGAGAGGGGAGCTTGGCCCTTCTGGAACTTACAGCAGGGAAGAAAGGGAGCCAAGAGTAAGGCCCCACCCCGCTGCTTTCCCACATAAAGGATAAAGCTCCAAAGCCACCTTCCACAGAGAGAGCTGCTGGGCGTCCCAGTGGGCTTTCAGTTCCCAGAACAACTTGCAAGGAAGGCCTTGTGTCAAAAGAGGAAACTGAGGTTCCCAGGTCCGCAGCTAGGACACTATGGACAGTCAGGAGGGAGGAAGGTTGTTGCTTCACCTCAGGAGAGGGTTGAGAACTTGGTTTGCTTGGCCTGCAGCTCCGGCCCTGCCATAGGTCCTTAGCAATCTCTGTGGACAAGGTGGCAGTCTCGCCCCTCTCTAGCCCCGCCCCTCTCTAACTCTGCCCCAGACTTGGCCCCAGGGAGCCCTTACCGACAGCACTTGTACTAAATAAGCAATCTCAGCACCCACGACCCGAGTGTTGTAGGCAGCTTGGGTGTATTCCGCCTTGGCGCCACGCCTCCAATCCACACAAACACAGTTCACTTTCTCCACTTGAAACATCCTCTAGGGGAAAGAATAGAGAGAACAAACTTCATCAGCAAGCCAGGTGGTACACCCCTGAGAAAGGAATTCACCTCCGCAAAGAACTCGGTCCTTGGCCACAGCATCTGTTTCCCTCCTGCCCGGCACAGCTGACCTCGAGGGCAGCACTGTGAACTGGGGATGCTCATCTTACTTAACAGATGTGGAAACTGAGGCCTGGGAGGATGACTTCCTGGTCTCAGATGCTCATAGCCAGGCACAAAGAAACTACCCGGTCAGAGGAAAACGAATTCTGAGGCTGAAAAGCTCACAAGGCATGTAGTCATCTGTGCATACTAGCGCATCTCAAAGGCCCCAAACCTGCGTGTGGCCGGTGGCTCCCGGCACATACACAGAGCACTCTGTGAGCTACTCGAGCTAAAGAGGGCCATGTGTTTGTTCACTTTAATGCTACACACGAGTCAGAGACAACATCAGGTAGCATGTGGCGTCCTCACTTCTGAGTCTTGCTGGCTAGCAACCCTGGGAGAACATGGCAATGGAGGCGTTCCTTAATGGGTTTTGAGGAGGAATCCTTCTCCTCCAGGAGCACTTCCTCTCCTGGTGGATTCGGCGAGGGGTATGGGTGGCCACCTTGCACATGTCCAGCAGCCAGCTGTCCTCTCCCTTGTCTATGAAGCCGTGGATGATGAATCGTGTCTTGCGGTCCAGTTGGAAGTTGGAAGCCTCGATGGTGGCTGGGTCAGTGGCAGAGATCACCTGGTTTAATTAGACAAAATGAATTTGAATGTTGCCCTGGTCCATATGCGGGCTGGTGACACAGAACTATGAGACTGAGATCCCAGGTGCAGAACCATGAAGGCGAGTCCTGTGAATCTAAGGGTACAAACTCACTGACTTCCTGTTTCCTGTACCTTGAACCCAAACCTAGTATCTGTTAAGCATGGTTCAGGCAAGAAACTATAGTGGTTTTGGCGATAGCCATGACTCAGTTCCTCAGTTAAAGTCACAGATACTTCTGTGCCACGTGGCAGTTGTTGTAAATACCTCAAAGTATCATTTATACTCATTACTGCTTAGTTGCAGTGGTTTTCAGATCAATCTTCATTGAGATGATAAAATGGCACATTTAATACAATGCTTCGTATTTTCTGTTTCTTTCATGTTCTGATGACTGTTTTCAATCTAATTGATTTCCTTTGCAGCCCATTAAGTTTTATTTTATCCATTTGGAAATATTATCCTGGGAGGGGCCTTGAGGCTTCCTCTGGTAGCCAAATAGATTCATGTCACAGGGAAGGTAGAAAACCGTTGGCTGGAAGCCACAAGCCTGAGCTCTGGTTCTAGGGAGACTGATTCTTTAGAATCAACTTCCATGTCCCCACAGCCTTGCCCAGGAACCTTCTGCCAGCCAATGCTACAAGGGTAGGACAACAAAGGCAGTAATGGCCACTGTGTCTACACAGCTTCCAGGCTGCAGGAACCAAGCCCCAGAGTGGGTGATCCCAGGCACCTAGAGGCAGACCGAATGCCAGGGACCAAAGTTTGAGCTACTTGAACTCATGGCCAAGTCATCATCGAAAAACTCTCTGGTCACCTGACTATCTGGGTCAGGCCTGTCCTGAAAGTCACCCCAGAGACCTCATATTTTAAAACCCTTTGTGGTGAATTGAACTCCCGCCTTTCCCGCTTTGTGGCTTCTTGCTTTGTATATGTTACTGCTCCATTGCCCTTTGAGAAGGTGATGGAGGATGTAGTTGGGTTATACCTTCTCCATAAATGTCATTGTTGCTTTTCTTCTCGACAGGTTTCTAGGGTGGACCTGGAGACCTGCACACTAATGTGTAAGAGTTTGTAGTCTCTGGATTTTATTGCTATATTTTTTTCTCACAAACTCAGGGTTATGATCCTTAGAGCCAAGAGCTCCCGCATTAGGAGGACAGTTCCAAAGTGTTAATTATGCCCTAGCCAGCTACTGAGGGGCCCTGGTATGTGGTCCAAACTGGTTCTGTCACCCAACCCAGACATCCCATGCCCACACTTACTTGGTAGTTGTCCGGATTTTCATTTGTGAACAGAAGAAAGCGGGTATCAATGTCCTCTGGGGACCAAGGTAATATCTTCAAGGGCCGCTGAACCATCCCTGCCCATGGCTTCTCATTGGAAAAGCAGCCAAGACGTTCATAGCAAACCTCTTTGCCTGGTACAGAAAGAGCCACACACAGGACAGGCATGAGGTTCTGGGGAGGCATAATGTCACCTGCCACAGGTTTTTCAGGGTGGAC